TATATAGAGCCTGCGACTTTTGTTGATATTTTTCAATACGCCCCCTTTGAGATAATTGAATATCCGGTAAATAGTAGCCAATCAAAGCAAGTTTTGTTAATTAGATTACCAGAGGTTATTAACAACAACAAACAGTTTCTCGCGCAATTTTACGCCTGTATCTTTCACTAGGATTCCAAAGTCTAAACTTTAATCTAAAATAATTCATGGTCGTTTTTTCCCTAAAGTGTTCTAATATTTAAAACATAGTCCCGTTTGTATATTGCTGTCTTGTTCGTACATTGCCGTTTTAAATTATGTAACTATACCACAGAGACGTAAAATTTTACTCTCTATATTTATATCCAAAATATAACTGTAAGATTTAAGGAAACGTATTTAGGTTTTGAACAAAGTAACAAACACTATTTATTAAAAGTGTCGAACAATAGCAGGCTAAAAAACAACATTAATCATTATTGCGTGAAGTCTGTCATTTGCTCAACTGATAATACAATTAACTCAATAGACAATAGACAATTTGAAAACCCGTGGCCGTGGCATCGATTCTGCCGTGTTTAATAACTACATTTTTTGTAAAAAGCTCTTGTTATAATAATATATGTCACTAGTTGAGACTCCCAAAAATAAAGTCTCAAAGAGAGAGCGGACTTCGGTCAAAAACACGCAAACGACTATTGCAAAATTTCCAGGTGTAAATTCAAATTGGCCAGGTGTTCTAAGAACGACTTTCCTCGACGGCGTCTGTTTTAATAATTTGCCCATTGTCTTGACTTATTCAAGACCAGATTGTTTAGGCAGAAAGCCTTGGGATTGACAGGGAAGTATTTGGGAGAAATGTTCGGAGGCATTTGACAATCAACTGCTTTATACTAGCTGATTCACTGCCTGTGTCGACTCAACGAACGTCTCGCTGGGCTAACCTTAAGTTGTTCACTTCAACGTTTGAAACCGCAAGTGATGCAAACGCAGTTAGATAAATTGTCGGCCTGAACTAGCCTTATTTTACTCTCTCTGCAAAGATCAGCAAGGCATACATCGAAGTTTTCCCTTGTACTTCTTTGGAAAAGGTTTATTATTATAGCTGACGAAGACAAAGTATCGGTATATTACATGTAAACTTTTATCAAATCCCGTTGGAAGTACAGTTAATATTGCTAACCTTCGCTCATCCTTCAACGTTAATTTAAATTGAAAGGTTTCTCAAATACATTCAGTTTAATACTTCTTCGAAGAGATAAACAAAGTCATGGTTTTATACGCCACTGATTGAATGCCAGCTTTAAAATTACATTGCGAAATGTCGTACGAGTTAAATATTTGCACGATATTAACTCATGGGGCACTTCTGACCAATGGGAATTTTGCGTACGCTCCGTACGCATAAATCGACTTTTTACTAATAAAGGTCGCAGGCCGTTCCTCGTGCAGCCTCTGCCTGACAACGGCCTGCGAGCAGGCTAGCGTACGGATGACCGAATCAGTATTTATCAGTGGATCGAAGTATCGAACGCGACATATAAATTTGAGAGGTTTTTAATACTACTACAGACGACAGTTGGGTGATAACTGTCAGGTTTTGCTGTAAAATGTTTGGGTCATCTGGATTTGGCGGCACGACGAGTAGCATGGGTAGTAAAATGCCTTCAAACCTTGGTTTGGGCACCCTACAAAACCCGATGAAAGACGTCGAGGTTGCGTCCCCCCCTGACGACAGTATTAGTGCCATAAAGTTTAGTCCTAAAGCTAACTTCTTTGTTGCATCTTCATGGGCAAACGATGTAAGTAAGGCTTGGATGTTTATGTATTTGTTATTTAAGATCAAAGTTTTGAGATAGAATCTATAGACCAATTGCGAAACTTAGTGACCGCGCCTTCAACTGCACGAAAACGAGGCTTATGCAAAAACAAATCATTCTGGGGCCGGTTGTATCAAAGGCGTTTAACTTAAACGGTGGTTAGCCGCTATCCAGCGTATAAATTTCTTATCCAGCGGATAGTTAAACGGCCGATAAAATTGCGTTGTATGAAGCCCGTTTAGTACCGCGTTTAACTATCCGTAGGATAACCTTTAATTTAACCGGAGAAAACCGGATTTTCTTGAA